ACGAGGGTTTTAAGTAATTAAGGAATAGAAGATAGACGCGTAATGGTCTATATTTGAGTTAAAATTTAAGAATCTAGATGCGTAATGGTCTATGATTGAATTAGGAATTTAAAGATAGATGCGTAATGGTCTATAATTGAGTTAAGAAATTAAGAAGATAGATGCGTAATGATCTATGTTTAAAAGAATTTAATGATATTTAGTTTATAAGGATTTTTGGCAAGTGCCTGTTGAGAAAGCGTTTCTCGGAAATTTTGTATTAAGATTTTAACTGCAAAACTGTCTCGTTATTTTGTTAATTCTTAAGGTTTATTTTTTTATTGTTTAATAAATTCGATTAACTAGATAAAATTGTCCTCAGTATTTATTTTCAGCCTATCTCAACTTCTCACGACCCGACTTTCCTGCTCGTGCTCTTCCGGTTTCTGGGACACCGCGAAAATAATCCCAGTGGCGCCCTTTTCATAAGGAAAGGGGTGACCAATTGAACAGGGTTAACCACCCCGTTACAAATATCAATCACAAACTTGCTGAATTTATGTCAAAAGGAACGTGGTTTCTCACTTTCGACCATTATGATGAGGTAAATAAAATAGTAGATAATTATTTAGTCAAGAACTATGGTTACTCAGCCTTCATCCCGAGAAAGAGAGTCAGCAGGCGTCAAGTGCATCGTCCGAGAAATCGCAAAAGACATTACCAAAGACGAATTTATAAAAGAAGCCAACTCGTTTAATCCTAGCTTAAAGGTCTTGGATATGTATAGATTCACCAGAAGAGTCCAGGAAGAAAATGGTCCAGAGAGGACAGAAACGGAAACAATTTGTTTCACTGTAAAGGGTGCCAATCTCCCATCCTATATAGTATTTTTTGCCACGGATTTCAAAGTCACTCCATATATCCCATCAATAAGATAGTGCTACAGAGGTGGAAAAATTGGACATATCAGCCGCTTCTGTAAAGAAGAAGAAAAGTGCTTAACCTGTGGGGAAAATAAGCATGAGGAAAGTCTCGGGTGTATCAAACCACCTGTGTCACAACTGTCAAGGATCTCATCGGACAATCCATAAGGGCTGTGAAGAAATAATTAAGGCCAAAGAAATTAGCAAGATTATGGTATATGAGAATCTACCCTTTATACAAGCAAGGAGAAAATATGAGGAAAAATACTCTGCTAGGTCTCCAGCACCAACTAGAACAATCGAAAATTTCCTGCAACTAAATCCTAAAACTCAAACCCAGTTACAAGAAAATGTCGCTCCTCTACTTTCCACCTCTCAAAAATGGGCTGCCAGGACTAGTAGCAATGTAGAAATAGTTAGGAAGCACCTAAAGGAACTAAAAACGCCAAGTGTCGAGGAAGTCAGTCAAGCCTCAAAGGAAGAAATCAGCAAACTTGTGGAAATCATAAACAGTTATAATAAAAAGACATAATCAATTCATTCTACTTGAATCAAGACAACGGCACTTATTCCATCGCATATGCCGATGACGCCATCATTTACGTAGTCGGGCACTACGCAGACGAAGTCAAAGACAAACTGGAAGATCTTGTCAACAAGATCAATAGAATGTCCGCTACATGGAATCTACGAATGAATCCATCTAAATACGAAACCATTGTCTTCCGTGTTTCCGCCAGAACAGTGATCAAGGCCAAGAGGGTAAAAACTGAAAACTTCACCATCACTACGTTCAACCCGGACACAGAAGAACCAGTTACCATTCCAATCAAAGACAGTGTCAAGTAATTGGGTATTGAGATCGACTACCTGGCTGGATGTTCCAAACACATCACCCAGTAGGTCTCAAAAGCCAAAAATACGAGTAGAGCTCTGTACAGGCTCTTCCATAGCAAATATTTAAGTGCTCGAGCAAGTTATCTGCTACCTTCTGCTCATTAGACCCATCTTAACCTACGGTGCCCCGGTACTTTGGAATCTGGGTGCAGCCCAAATGAAAAAATTAAGAAAGCTGGAAAGGGCCTGCTTAAGGGTTGCTCTGAGAAGTTACAAATCAACCGAATCCAACTACACACACAATGTCAAAAACACAGACCTATACAACGAAGCGAAAATCCCAAGGATTGATAACTTCTGGCCAAAACTCACCAGGGATTACTTCCCCAAGTTGAAGTCCATTGATAATGAATTAATCCAACGTCTCTGCGAATCAAATCCGGCTCGAGTAAAAGAAAACTCCCAGACTGGGTTCCTACAGCCACAAGCCTTTACAGTCCTCAAACAACAAGGCGTGATTCAAGATCACTTCAATATTCCTGTTTTATACCATAAGAGCAGTCACATGAGTGACAAAAAAATTCTCTGGTCTAAGAGTCAAAATTACATTGGACTAAAATATTCCAAGATGATCCCTGACCTCGACAAAAACAGCTTTTACCGGCGGACCGGAACACACCCCAGATGAAGAGATCAAGAAATCAGCAGCTCGAATACAACAACCCGCGACATAATTAAACACCAAATCAAGCTGTCTTGCTTCTGTAAATATAGTGTACAAATTGTAAATAATTCCTCAGCTTTTAGTGATTAGTTAGTTAGAAAGTTATTTTTTAAGTCTTCTAGTCTCGGAGTAAAGATGTGGTTTTTTCTATAATTTTTCCATAAAATCAATACACTTTAACACTCAAATGAGTGGAACTCTAGCCTCGGCTTTTCCAAAAATAATTATTCTAAAGCAAAAAAAAAAAAAAAACAGTGAGTTAAAACTTGTGCGTACTGCAACCAGCAGTCTTTTTTGTTCAGACGATATTTATTTTTATATTCAAAGAAATGTATGGCTTTTTTAATTTCTGTTTGTTTAGCCAATCACACATGTATTTTTAATGTATGACTTTTATTATTTTAAATAAACAAAAAAAGGTTCGATTTCCGGCTAGTGCAATTTTTTATAAATTTCCAAAAAAATTTGAAAATTAGTTCACCCTGTAGGCCATCCCTGGAACTTATCGCTGTGATCAAGCTTAAACGATGAGATAATTTTCTAGATAAGCAATCTTTTATTACACGGAGAGAAAAAATGTCGATAATTAAGAAATTACATTGCATCTTGTAAACTGATGACATTTTTAGAGATATATGCTCATCTTGATATTACACTCATCGAAACCTTTCATTTGAGTACCTGCATGAATTTTTCGTATATTTTATATATTTCACAAATATCATATACAAATATATGTTAAATATATAAAAAATTCATTTGGGTATTCAAATGGAAGGTATCAATGAGTGTAATATCGAGATGAGCTTACATCTCTGAAAATGTCAATAATTAAAAAATTCTCAAGTAATCTAACGAGATTCATAAATTATCACCTTGCATACATGGCTGGATATCCCAGAGGAAATAGTCAGAACAGAATTAAAAATACCTATATAATCGTTAAATTAATTTTTTAGACTACTGTTGGAGATAATAAATACAAAATATCATTTTTATTTTGTTTATTCTATTGTCAGAATCAATAAATCCTAATCAAGAATTTAAGAACTATAAGCTTTAGATAACAAATTCCGATTAAATATATTTTTGTTAAATATATTTATCTCACAAGAAGTGTTTTCATAATCTTTTGTAAATAAAATAAAGATAATAATAATAATTTTCTGTCAGGAAAGTTTTGATTAAAATATATTGTTAAGGGGGGACACCACTGTGACGATCGAAAAAAAGAGGTGATTTTCGGGAATTTTTTTGACAGGGAAAATAAAGGAATTTGGGGATCGGATTTTTTTAATTTTCTGTTATAAAATTGGGTTATCAGTGGACATTATTCAATTTATTGGAAATTTTATTAATAGTCATCATTTATTTTTTTATCTACTAAAAATTTAAATAGCGTGTATCATATATTTTTATTGTAGAGATTTTTTATATATACATATATCTATAATAATAAATAGAGAGCCGGTTTTTTTGTCCGGTTATACTGCGAAAACTACTGAACCGATCGGAATAATACTTATACCGCGATAAGATGCAGCGTGTTTCGAAGAAGGTTTTAGTATATCCCGAGAAAAAATGTTTCTATATAATCATATATAATTGTATATGTAATTGTACTCCATCCTTACTGATTAAAAAGCAATTTGAGTTTTTAATTTCAGATGATTTGTTTTTGAGTTATCGAACTGACCGTGGAGAGGGGAAATTTTCTCCAGTGCTCGACGAGATTGTTAATAACTTTGTAATAATTAAATATTTTTTAATAAAAATTTAGGGTAATAATCTTTAATGTACCCTTAATAAAATAAAAAAAAATCCGATTCCTAAATTCCTTTATTTTCCCTGTCAAAAACATTCCTGAAAATCACCTCTTTTTTTCGATCGTCACAGTGGTGTTCCCCCTTAATTTAATAATGATTACTCATTACTTGCAAAAACGATCTGCGGAGAAAGCAATTTTATTTTTCATATATTTATAATTCTTCAAACCCCGTTATCACCTATTCGGTCATTTTCATGCTAGTATACTATACTAGCATGAAAATGACCGAATAGGTGATAACGGGGTTTGAAGAATTAAATAAAATCACGGTTGATAAAATCAATAAAAAAATATTTATAATGTTATAAAATTTCCAATCAGTGATATATTTTGTACATAGTCTGATGATTATTAGTATTATCAGTTCCATACAATTTTTAATTAACGAGATAAAATCTTTATTATCAATCAAATCACCTATGTTTAAGATACACGCAGTGAGATTCGAATGTTAGTTATAATTCTGCCGGTTGCGCGATAATGTTATCTAATAAATTTTTGTGGCTACTTTATGCGATTTCTTACTCATTTTATAGTATAGAATATTCAGATGCTTTTGAATTAAACAATTCAAATTTTAACGATGAGAAAAATAAAAGCATTCATGATATCGATTTTCGTTTACCGAAAAATATTATTCCAATTTCGTATACAATTATTTTGACACCAATTATAAGTAAAAATAATTTTACATTCAGTGGTGATATTACAATTAAAACTCGAGTTAATATTGAAACGGATGAAATTATCTTCCATCGTGGACAAAATATTACGATAGATGAAATTTCAATTATTAATAACAAAAAAGGGCCGATTGAAATATTTAATAACACGTATTATAATAAAACGGAGAAACATGTGTCTTTACTAAATACTAGTATGCCTGTGAATTCGACAACTGTTATACAAATAACGTACAATGGAATCATACGGGATGATATGATCGGTTTTTACAGAAGCTCATATTTTTCTGAAACTGGTGATATAAAGTAAGCTGATTTAATTTTAAATAATTAAACACAAATAAAAATTAAAGAAGCTATTATTATTAATATCTTCTTTTCCTCTTAGATGGTTAGCTGCGACACAATTCCAAACTACTCATGCAAGACATGCTTTTCCTTGTTTCGATGAACCAAATTTAAAAGCTAATTTTACCATCATTATTCGTCGGCCCAAATCGTACACAAGTTTAAGTAATATGCCTCTCAAAAGAACAGTAACAATGTAAAAACAATAATTAATTAATCAATTTTTTACTGAATCAATTTCCGTGAAGAAATTTTCTGATCCGATTATAAATCTTTTATAATTTTGATGTATGGTCAGGTCAGTAAATTTTTTTACGAGTATAAGGTACCGGCGGGTAATATGGCCTAACTAAGGAAGATTTTGAAAAAAAATCCAATATATTGCGTTTAATTATCGAAATGTATCATTAATCTTTATTTTAATACATTAGCCATTAAATATAATGAAGTAATGGTAATTTTCACCATAAACAAACACAAAATTGAACTTTTTCTTAAAAACCTTACGAATAGGCCTTATTTTACTATGGTAGGGTCATAAGGTCTACGGGTTAAACATACTGGAAATAATTATACTGTACTTAATAAAATTGGTATTAGAGATCAATCATCACTTAAATTTAGCAACAATACTTTTTTAGATGTTGATAAAAATTAGAACAATGATTTTAAATAATTAAATATAAAATTATAAAAAATCCTTTTCATTTACTCAAACCGTTTTTTAGGAATTGTTCTTTGCTACTTTAGCATATAACGAATGATGAAATAGAGAAGATAGAAAACGTGGTATCGGGACTCTATAAACTTGTCGTGACATTTCTATGCTAGACGCTTCTACTATAGTAACTTTAAGGGGGATGGCCACTGTGAGGATCGAAAAAATAGGTGATTTACGGGAATTTTTTTGACTGGGATAATAAAGGAATTTGGGGATCGGGTTTTTTTTGTTTCATAAATTATGCATTGCAGATTATTCTCCTAAATTTTTATCCAAAAATATCATGTTGTTACAAAGTTATTAGCATTTTTGTGGGGCACCAAAAAAATTTCCCCCTCCATGATGCGATCTCTAACTCAAAAACGGATTATCTAAAACAAAAGAACGAAAGAGCGTTGTAATCTGCATGCGTGTGGTTATCGTTGCACGTAGAGGATTTTGAAAATTTGGATTTAAAAAAAAATGGCGACATATTAAAAATTTTTTCGTTTTTTTTCCTCATTTTTTTGGATTCAAACAGCCCTAAAAAATCTTAAAAAACAAAATTTCCAAAATCCCTTACGTGCAACTATAGCTACTGAATAGACGAATATGGGGATAAAAAAGTTGCAAATCGGTTCATATTTATGCAAATTACAGTTCTCATCAGTTCATAAAAGTAGTTTCGAGAAAAACGCGTTTTCCTCGGAGTGCCGCGCGTGTAAAGTCATTTGACGCGCTGTCACAAAAATGACTATAACTCGGAAAATATTCGGAATTTTGATACCAAACTCTAGATACATATTTTTGAATCTATAAACTTGGATTTAATAAAAAAAAAATTTTTTTTTTTTGAAATTTCACAGTGGCCATCCCCCTTCAGAATAGTTTAAAACCCACGTGTTCTTGATATTTTTTAAATAATTTTACCCTTAATCCAGCTTTTGGAATCAACTCTTAGATTTCTTTTTGACTGCTCAAGGTCATGTAATCGTTGAAGGTTTCAAAGTCATTTAATTCATGTTCTATAAAGACAACATAAAAGTCGGGAATAAACAAATAGGTTAGGTTAGGATGTCTCGTTGAAAAATCTTAATACTATTTATTAAAAGATTTTACTGTAAAAATATAGTTGCATATATCATAATTAATACAAATTTATATTGTGTTATGAAACATGAATTTTGTATTCTAATTAAAAGTAATTTTTGTAACAACTTACCTGAGAAAATAGGCCACAAAGATGATAACTCCCAATCCTTCTAATAACTTTTTCATATCAGTTTTAAGCACATTTAACTTTTATATGTTTTATATACTTTAATAAATTAAATTAATGAATATTAATTCTTTTTTTTTGAGATTATTTGTTTACCGTGAAACTTTTGGAACGAGTAAAAACTACGCGTGTATTAATGACAGAAAACGAAAGTGACGCTCGTGGTTATTTTAATCCGAACAAAAACAGTTTCATTGTAAAAAAATCGCGCCAAGTCCACGTTCATAAGACTATTAAGAAAAAAAAATTAGTTTTTTCTTTACAAAAAGATATAAAATAAAAAAATTAAAAAATCCAAGTAACCGATATATAATTGTTTATGATTTTCGGAAATTAAAAAAAATTTTGTTGTAAATTTAAAAATTAAAAAAAAAAATTTTGGAACGTACTTGGTGTGCGTTGTTGCAAAATATTTTACTTTTAACTAAATTCGTAAAATCTATTTAATAGGACTTTAAAAAAATTGAAATGCACAATATAACGCACACCAAGTACGTTCCAAAATTGTTTTTTTAATTTTAAAATTTACAACAAAATTTTTTTTAATTTCCAAAAATCATAAACAATCATATCGGTTACTTGAATTTTTTAATTTTTTTATTTAATATCTTTTTGTAAAGAAAAAAACTAATTTTTCTCTTAATAGTCTTATGAACTTTTTTTTTTATTTTTAAATTTACAACAAAATTTTTTTTAATTTTCGAAAATCATAAACAATTATATCGGTTACGAGGATTTTTTAATTTTTTTATTTTTTATCTTTTTGTAAAGAAAAAACTAATTTTTTTTTTCTTAATAGTCTTATGAATGTGGACTTGGCGCGATTTTTTTACAGTGAAACTTTTTTTGTTCGGATTTTAGTATTTTTTTTAATTATAATAAAAATTTACAATTGATACCAACTTAAATCTCGCGTTGGGTGCATTTTTTTTATAGCAAACTATTCCCTTGAGGCTACAGTTTATGTAAAAATAATTCTAGCGCACCCTGGCGGGTGTAGATGCAAGTTGTGAAATATCTTTTTTTAACTGTAGTGTCCCATCTTATGAAGGATTACTATGCATTCTCGAATATTTTAGTCTGTGGCAGATCACTTTGCCCATCGAAAAAAAGTCAGGATCGAAATTTTTGCGTTGCTATAGTTTGTGCTGATTAAATTTATTAATTTCAAGTAGATTAATTGTTATAAGTGAATATAATTAATTAATAACAGTAAAATAAAGTATGAATTACTGTTATAATATACAATTTAGGAAAAAAAAGTACCGTAGAATTAAATAAAATTTTGCAACCTCAAAATACCGTTCTGCTTACAGTAAACACAGTCGGTAGTCTGGCGCTCCGTTGGCAACGGATTTGAACGGAACTTGGCGCCAGATTCTACCGAATCTGTGGATAAACACATATTTTCATTTAAGAAAATGTTAATAAATACTAATAAAATTGTTGGAAGGATGGGCAGAGTTGCTAGGTGATTAATTAATAACACGTATTATTATTTAAATTGAACTCAATATATTTTCTTAAATACAGTATAGAATACTCTCAGAGATATGAACGTTGTAGATGCAACTATGTGTGTCGAGCAAGTGAAGCCAAGGAGCACCGGCGTGCCTCGATGCGACCGGCGCGGCGCGCTTGCGCACATGTGTGTGTTCTCTCACACACCTATACATCTATCAAAGACTCTCCAACAAAAATTTTATTTATTTGAAACATAATTTTTTTAATATTAATTAATTTTTTTTTCAAGTTCAAATAAACTTTTTTATTACTATCAAATAAAATTGTCTCTCAGCATAGAGTAGCCTTTAGAGGAAGCGGTTATTATTTTTTATATACTAAAATTGATGGTAGAATGAAGTTAGCTTATTATCGAAAACATGGACCCTGATTCCTTATTGGTTGAGATTTAGATTGAAGTTAGCTTAGTATCGAAATAACGTTCAGAATTAGAGCGCGCGCGTATGCGCGCAATTTAAATTCCTAGTTAAATATAATTTCTGTTACTCAGGCCTTATTATTCGCAGGCACCTTATACATGAAAACAAAAACAAAATCAATTTTTTTTCTCTTTCTATGTCTTTTTTTTAATTATTTAGTACCGATGAACTACAATCAGATACTTATGAAAGCAGTATCCCAATGTCGACTTATCTCGTAGCATTTGTCGTGACCCCTGATTTCAAATCTAACCGAGATGAAGAAAATAACATAACAATTTGGACTCAACCATTAGCTGTAAATTTAACTAACTACGCATTGAAAGTTGGTTACCATGCACTAAATTATTTTACTAGTCTATTCAATGAAAGTTATCAAATAGAAAAAATGGATATGATAGCAGTGCCAGATTTTTCAGCTGGAGCTATGGAAAATTGGGGTCTCATAACCTACCGAGAAAATTACTTACTCTATGATGTAACAGAATCTTCGGATAGTGCACAGCAAAAAGTAGCGTCTACGATTGTTCATGAGTGCGCTCATATGTGGTTCGGAAATTTAGTCACCCCGGAATGGTGGGGGTATTTGTGGCTCAGTGAGGGGTTTGCTAATTATTACCAATACTTTGTCACATCTCTGGTAATAATTATAAATTATAATTATGACGATTATATATTGGTAGTGAATAATTATCATGAAATTTAATGATTTTTAATGATTCTTCAAGATTGAACCTGACTGGGCGATGGATCAACAATACATTGTAGATCACCTCCAATCAGTACTTCAAAATGATGGATTAGAATCATCGAAACCGATGACCAGACAAGTCAATTCTACATCAGATATTTCTACAACGGGTGATACAATAACTTATTCAAAGGGTGGGAGTATTTTACGAATGATGAATTTAGTTTTGGGATCAGATATTTTCAATTCTGCTATTCAGAATTACATTAAAACAAAGTAATTATGCACAGAAAAAAATTAAATTGATTTGAGAAAAATATCTAACTTCCCATTCGTTTTTAAATTAATTATATAAAGCTTAGAAAATCCAAAAGTGCAAGACTCATAATGTTCATTTAATTATAAAATAATAATAAAAAAAAAATTTGAAAAAAAAAAGTCTAAAACAGCTATTATAGGACGATAATGCTTGGGCGCCTCTAGTAAGATAAATGTATATAATATATGTAGATGGACAAACTTTCGTTTTTTTATTTTATTTATTGCAATTATAATAATAATTTATTATCTACAAAAAGTGGCCCGGACCAGACTTCACCCTGAAGATTACACGGAAAAAAGTAAACTGCATGTATAATATTCACCGGGATTCCGGTTAATTTTTATAGTTTCAAACAGTAAAACGGACATCGGGGTGGCAAAAATATAAATATTACAGAACTTAATGTAGAAAGTATAAAAGCCACAATTTGTAATTTAATATCCAAAATAAGTGATTAGTAGCTGTCACTATAGTAAATAACGACTCTTTCATCTTAAAAAATTACAGTTTCAAACAGTAAAAATTGCCATTTCAATATATAGTCCATATTATGAGGAGAAGGGTAACTCAGATGAAAGAGAAGGGGGTTTCACTCTGGGAGAATTTAACATTTGAAACAGTAAAAATTATACTTTTAAAATATACATTTTACCAGTCCAAGCAAGTTAATAATTACACTTTGATTTTTAGCGTTGCGTTTAAAATTTACCATTTTACTTTGTAAATATTGACGTTGCTTGTATTAGAAATTTACTAACTTTATTTTATACTTTTTACATATCATAACATCATTTTTTAGGTACGAAATGATAAATATCAAAGTCTGAATTCTTAATTGTTATACTTTAACATTTTAGACATTTACATAGCGAATATTACTGTTTGAAATAGTATTTTCTTCCATGTAAAGAGTAAATTGTAACGTTTAAATGGTAAATATTATAAAGTGAATAGTAAAATCACGATTTTACTGTTTGAAATGGTATTTTTTAGCAGTTGATCATTACTTATTATAAATCTACTGTTATTTATTACAGTTTACTTTTTTCCGTGTAAGTACCCAAGTCATACCGTGCTTTCATTCCAAAACGGATATCACTCATTTACTGTTTATATCATTCTTTACATTTTTATTATTGATTTTATAATTATATATTTTAATTCATCGAACCATGTGAAAAGATGTTGTAAATATGTATAGTCTTTTCACTTTGTTTCTCTCGTAATCTTTTCACATTGTATTGAAGTTTTGATACCTGATTAAAGCAGTAAATTATTATTAATTGCAATTAAATGATATTGAGTTACGTAGCTACTCGCAATAAAGGACCTACAAATTCTTAAAAGAATTAGAAAAACAAATTTGACTGAATTAATAGATTTTTTGGCTAGTTACGGTGTTTACAGGTTTCATACTTGACGGGCGGAAAAATTTCTTAAACTATTTTGATGTTTTTTTCCGTTTCTATTGCACTAAATAAATTTTTGAAATGTATGGAATTAATCTCGATTAAATAGTCTTGACAATAGTATGCAAAATATCTTGACTCCGTTAAATAACATAGGTATAATAATAAAAATAGTTGCCAAAATGAGGCGAAAAAAATTTTTTGATCGTAAATTACTCTCTGATGCTTCGCATGATGAGCCGTGCAAAAGTTACTTAGTATGCTTATAGATGTGAAACAGTAAATAGTCACTTTGAAATATTTTGGATCAAAAACATTTTTCTTGAGTCAACTAGTTTTTTTTTTGTTTACTGTTTAAATGACTTTATGTGTTCTTTCCATCTCAGAAAATATCAATCAGCTACTCCGAATGATCTTTGGAAGTCATTCCAACAACAACTTGATTCAAGTAACAAAAGCCTTCCTGCATCCGTCGAAACAATAATGACTTCATGGACGAGTCAATCTGGCTACCCCATCGTAACAGTTACAATCCAAAATAATACAGCTCAATTACGGCAAGAACGTTTTTCGATAAGAAATGAATCAGCTGACGATAATTCAACCTGGTGGATTCCTTTGACTTGGTCCACGAAATCAGAACATAATTTCGAAATAACTTCATCACGATATTGGTTGAGCGAAAAAAATTCAGTGATTAAATTAAATACATCGGATGAATGGATTATTTTTAATATCAAACAATCTGGTATATTTACTAAAATAGTATTTTCATTTCCATTCATACTGACAATTTATTATATCTTAATAATTTTTTTTAGGTTTTTATCGAATAAATTACGATCAACAAACATGGGATCGCATTATTAACCTGTTGAACAGCGATTCGTTCAAAGAAATAAGTGTGATTAATCGAGCCGCTATTATTGATGACTTATTAAATTTAGCACGGGCTGGTCTTATTGATTATTCTACTGCTTTAAGCGGACTTAAATATCTTAGGAAGGAAACAGAATACTTACCTTTTAAATCAGCACTTACTGGACTTGAGTACTTACACAAACGTTTTATTGGTCAAGAAAACTATCAACTATTTGCTGTAAGAAAATATATCGTGTGACAAATGCCAAAAGGGCGTATAAAATAATTTTTTTTTTTTCCAATAACTTTGCAAACATATTTTGATCTAAAAAATAAAAAAATTTCAAGTCGCAAAAAATTTACGTCTCAAATTATATATTTTAATGACTCTAAGAGTGAAAATAAAAAATATTTTTATTATTAAATGTCTATCAGGCTACTAAAGCGCGACATTTGAAAAGTTTTAAATATATTTAATCATCATAATCATTTTTTAAAAGAGTGAATATTTTTTAATCTGAATCTTACAACATAGTTTAAAAAACGGTAAAGAGAAAAAAAATTGGGTAATTTTCTAGAATTCCTAATAGAGACAAATAAAACTGAAAAAAAAAATTTTTAAAAAATTTTTTCGTTGCCCATTTTGCCCCGTTTTTAGTTCAATTTTTTATATTTTACCTATCTTATAGTATTACTTCTTCGATCTGCATTATTTTCATGTTTTATAAAAAAAAAACATAATTTTCTTTATATGCCCTTTTGACGTTATTAGTTCAAAATTTTTTCTTACTGATTTTGACGTTTTGGAAAATTTTGAGCTAATTGGCAAAAAATTTTTTTTTATGCGCCCTTTTGTCACAAAGCCCTATTTTACTGTAGGTGTACGCCCTTTTGGCATTTGTCACGCGATATAATTTTGATTACTTGATAAACAAAAATTCCATCTAATCTATTGATAAATTATTATTGAACTGGAATATATTCTACTTTCAGGAATTCATCTTAAATTTAATATCTCCAATGTACAACCGCTTAAACTTTAAGGATGATATTAATGATGATCGACTTACTGTGTTACTTCGAGCAGAACTTAACAAATGGGCTTGTGAACTAGATTATAAAAAATGTGTTGATAAATCATTAAATTATTTTACAGATTGGATGAAAAATTCTTCTAAAACGTAAATATTTATTACAATTTTAATCTGTTTCATCAATTATTCAAAATTTTTCTTGAATTATGTAATTTTTTTTTAAGCATTCCGAAAAATTCAAAGAACATCGTATTCTGTACGGCTGCAAGACTGAGCTCTACTGGAAATACTGATTTAATTCCTGAATATACGCTAGATAAATTGTTAAGTAACTTTACGATAGAAACTCCAATGATTTTAGAGGCACAAGCTTGCTCAAGGAATAATACTGTTTTAAAACGGTAATTACTATAAATTTTACTGAAAAAATAAATAAACATATTTATTGTTTTTTTAATATTGATTCAAGGGTATCAAAAATAATACTAGAAGGATTCGAAAGTAGTAAAGTTCGAAAACAAGACGGGATATATTTTTTTAGATCTGTTGCGCAATCGAGTCCATTTGGCGCTGAATATATTCTCGAATTTATTAATGATCATTATGATGAATTACTGGATTAGTAAGTATATAATTGGAATAGTACAACTCTTCTATCAATTATTTTCGTTAATTAACTTTGATAAATCATAACATTATTTTATTTCTTCCAGTTTGGGAAATATTAATTCAATTGCCGATATTATCTCACTTGCATCTCAGCAATTTTCAAGTAAAAATCTCGTCAATAAATTAGAAACATTCATAACAAATAACAGCATAATATTAGATCCAATCATCGATTCACTAAACTCATCCTTAAAACTTTCTCAATTTGAACTTAATTTTTACGAAAAAAATTCACCTCTAATTATTCCATGGATTGAAGAATATAATACAAAATTAAATGGAAATTCTGGTGAAAAATCAAACGAATATCGACTCCCCACAAATATAGTGCCAAAAAAATATACCGTCAAATTGACACCATTTATCGAACCAGGAAACTTTACATTCAAAGGCTATGTTGAAATAATTGCTTACATTGTAAATTCGACTAATAAAGTCGTTTTACACATTGATGATATTAACTACGAAACTGTTGCTCTTAGTGTCGACGATAAACAGATTAAAGTAAACTCAACAGCAGAAGATAAGAAGTATCATTTCATGAATATTACTACGAGTGAACAAATGATCAAGGGATCGCAATTGAAGATTACAATTGAATATACTGGAAATCTTAATGCAGAAATGCGTGGTTTTTATCGAAGCTCTTACATTGACGACTTCAATAAAACAAAGTATATATTATTATGCTTATGTTCATTAATATAATTATCAACATCATTATTATTATTAATATCACTGTCATCATCAATTTCACTATCAGTACCAGTGAAAAAATCTTCTGATATGGCCATATATGCTCATATGTGGCCATATCAAAATTGCTGATATGTTTTGCTTATATATAGCCTGATATGCGCATAAATAAATTTTTATACAGCCACGTGTTCTGATATGGCCTGATATAGAAATTGGCCATAGTAATGGTAGACCATATAAGGTTATATCAAGAAGTATATGGCTATATCAGGCTTGATGTGTCTTGATATGAACATATATGCCATATATGATATGTGCTGATATAGCCTAATCTGGCCATATATGTCTTAATATATCCTAATATGACCATATATGCCATATATTTCTTGATATATCCTTGTATGGTCATATATTCCTATTTTTCCCGGGATTCATATGGTATAATATACATTGTATGGAATCCCGGAAAAAATGGACCGGAAAAAAAAAATTTTTTTTTTGTAACAAAAAATGGAGAAATCATTCTGGGGGTGCTTGTTTTTCAGGAAAATTGTGGGTGTGATATTTTATAGTAATTTTAATGAAATAATTTGAATTTTTCATAACTTTAAAATTTTTTCCGATTACCTATTGCCATATATGTCATGATATGGTCATGTATGCCATATATGTTCTGATATAGCCGGATATGGCCATGTGAATAAGCTTGATATAGTCTTAATTTTCTTCACAATATCCTTAGAAGATAATTTTAATATGATTATTAATTTTATTAAGACAATAAATTACAATCACTAATGATCCATATATACAGATGGTTAGCAGCCACCCATTTAGAACCAGTTGGAGCTAGAAGAGTATTTCCTTGTTTCGATGAACCAGGTTTAAAAGCTACTTTCGAATTAAGTGTTAGCCGTCCAGCCGACTACAAAGCTATAAGTAACACTTTATTGAAATCCACCGTTAAAGAGTAAGCTTAAAGTTTAATATCAATAAATAACAATCTTTATAAATTAATATTTTCTCAACAGCGGTGATCGGTATATCGATACTTTTGAACCAACTCCAAACATGTCAACGTATTTAGTAGCTCTTATTGTATCAGATTTCAATTCAATCAGTCATGATAAGCTTTTCTCTTCATGGGCACGACCGAACGCCATTATCCAAGCCAATTATTCATCTTCAATAATTAAACCAATAGTTAATTTCTTCGAAAAAGCCTTAGGTCACTCTTATCAACTGCCTAAATTAGACATGATTGCGTTACCTGATTTTGCATCAGGTGCTATGGAAAATTGGGGTCTCATAACCTATCGTGAAACAAACATGCTGTATCATCCTGATTATTCGCCTATAACATCGAAACAAGCTATTGCAAACGTTGTTGCTCATGAAATAGCTCATCAGTGGTTTGGAAATTTAGTCAGTCCTCATTGGTGGAGTTATGTTTGGCTCAGTGAAGGATTTGCAAGATATTACCAGTATCATGCTACCTCAACAGTATTCTAAATTAATTTATAATCAATCTTATTCACATCTTTAGTAACAATTTTTGTCGAGAAAATTTAGCTCAAGATTTTTGATCAAGTAACCCCATCCAGATTCTTAGAATTCTAGAGTAAGATACCGTTTGGCGTCTTTCTTGATCAAGAATCTTGTTGCAGAGTTGATATGTATTGCTCAACGCTTACTTTCAAAATCTTGATGCTTAAAGTAGTTGTCATGGTACAATATTGTCAAAAAATTAGAGATTATACGTGCCGCAAAAGTATATGAGCTTGTAGCTAAGTAATCCATAATTTTTAAGCAAAACTGTACCCGTGGAGACGCGACCCATACAATTGTTTCTGTTTAACTCCATAGATATATATATATATATACTTTTTCATAAATTGTTAAACTTTAATCCGTTATTTATAAATAATTAGACGGTCAAAAACTTTTTTTAATTTTTGAAGTTATACTTCTTTTGGCGCGTTTGGATGAGAGTGAAATTTGTGAGCTGCGCGCGCATGATGTCCCAAAAAAGCGACATGATGAAGTTGGCCACAAATATAATTAAAAATATAGAATTCTTTTACTGACTAAGTTAACTCATATACAAACTAGTCGCCAAGTATCCAACGAAACGTTGTTATTTTTAAATTCGATAGAAATGCCATTTAATATGAAATATATTATTCATATTAATGATCAATTCTAAAAAATGGTCAATTAAATATTTTATTTGATTGTTTAGTTTTAATTCAACTTGGTAATAATTTCTTTTTAATTTATATTTTTTTCTAAAATAATAATAATTTCATGAAATAAAATATTTAAACTAAAATATAAATATTTTAGTATTTATTATATTTAGGTATCTTTTTATTGAGTTCATAATTTTTTAATAAAGACTTAAGGTAGTACCTCCACGAAAAGCATATTTCAAGCAACTTATGGAATTTTTTTTATCGAAAGATAAATATATTAATAATTCATCACAAAAAATTCAGATTAATTTACCGCACCATTTTTGAGTAATTAATTTTCAAAATTGCATCTTTTACACAGAGGTATAGAGAGATGGTAAAGTTAGTATGAAATCTTCCGTACCACTCGAATGATGCAAATAGATTTCATACTAACTTTACCATTTCTCTATACCTTTGCGTGTAAAAGATGCAATTTCAAAAATTAATTACTCAAAAAAGGTGCGGTGAATTGGCAAGGTATTTAAATTACATTTGAATTGTATATGAATATAAGTATACATTAGATTATTTACAAAGTTACTTAAAATTACATAAAATACAAAATATAGATAGATAAAAGGCTACATTAAAATATTCAGTCGAATAATTATTTGTAATATTCGGATATAAGTTTTGGTTTATAGTTATGAATATTTAAATATTGAGATTTTTTGAATTATTTGGTATACTAAAATTTAGATTTATTAATATGATTTAGATAATAGAATTTGGTTAATAAAATTTAAACATTGAGATTTAAACAAGGCCAATTATTATAATTAATACGCTTTAAAAGCTCTTAAGTTAGAATGATTTAAAATAAACTATATCGTAAATTATAAATTACGATTTAAAATTCCATAATAAATTCCATTATTAATATATTTATCTTTCGATAAAAAAAATTCCATAAGTTTCTTGAAATATGCTTTTCGTGAAGGTATTACCTTAGTCATTTTGTTTATCGAATTTAGTAATTCTATCCATATTTCTTAAAATGTATATTATAGACCATTTTAGTAATTTTTCAGAATTTTATTGGAAACAAAATCTAGTTTTATACTATAATATTTTTAAATCGTTTAATTCATGTAATTAATATTATTTTTGAAAAAATATTAATTAAAAAGATATTATCACTCGGTTAAATAATAAATAATGAACTATTATATAAGAAACGAATATTTTAAATAAATAATTAAAATATTTTATAATTATCAATTGTAAACTGTTGATACTTTACAACTCCAAAATTATAGTTTATTCAGAAAATTTTAAATAATATTGAATTAAATTCATACGATAGTTAATGATTTTATATTTATACAATATAGCAAAATTTTGACTATAATAAAACATTTTTGATTGTTTTTAACATTTTTCTTCGATCATTTTTACATTTTTTTTTCTTATGCCAAAGAAGTATAACTTCTGACGCGTGTACATAAGTCCACACACAATTTTTTTTTTTTTATATTCACAACGAATACATTAGAAGATTGTCAGATTTTTGGAAGTTTCTGAAAGTTTTTTTATGACTAAGAAACTGGTACAGAACTGCAAAGGGCGAATGCAATCAATGTTAAATATCCAATTTTTAATTAAATTCATCTCGGGTTATAGGTGGTCAATCGACTTCAAATTTTTAGGGTAATTGTATCATCATGTCCTAAATAGGTATACAAAAATTTAGAATTTTCTGACGATATGCCTTAACCACGACAACTACTTTAAGAATTATTTACAAATAACTTTGTCAAGTAGTCTGCTCAAAAAAATTTTTCCAAAAACATTGTTACTGAGGATTGTTACTACAACTCACAAAAAATTGTTTTTTTTTTCTTCTTTAGATTGAACCTAGTTGGGGACTAGAATTTCAATTTGTTGTTGAACAACTCCAAACATCGTTTTCTGCAGATAGTTTTCCTTCATCTCATCCCATGTCTCACAATGTAAATAGTCCGGCTGAAATTTCAAATATTTTTGATACAATATCATACTCAAAAGCCGGAAGTATTCTACGTATGATTGAGAAAAATTTTGGATCTAACTTATTTTACGCGGCACTTAATGATTACTTAGGCATGAGGTCAGCTACACATCGAATATAATTACTATTACAATAAATGATACACATATAACTAATTTTTTATCGTTATTAATGATCATTTATAGAAATTACTCAGATGCAATACCGGAACACTTATTTACCGCTTTTCAAAAGCAAACAGACAAAGCAAATATGAATTTAAATATTACAACTATTTTGAACTCTTGGACAACTCAACCAGGATTTCCAGTAGTTAATGTCAAAATTTTTAATCAAACTGTTACGTTGTCACAAGAGCAGTTTCTATTACAAAATCCGGATAACATATCAGTGAACAAAACTTGGTGGATTCCTATCAGTTGGACTTCCAATGAAAATTCTGATTTTAATTCAACTATTACCAAATATTGGTTTTATAAATCTAATGATTCTGTTAAAATAAATACTACTTCCGCTAAGTGGATTATTTTTAATGTTCAACAATCTGGTAAATATTTATTATTGTTAGTTTTTTAAAATAAAATTTATTTCAATCTTTAAGAATAGAACATATTGGTGCGCTATTTAAAATTTTGTTATTGCACGCCTCATACCGCGAAGCGGTTGAAGTAGAACACAATTTATTTTCTACTTAAAAAATGATTGAGCGTTATGAGGCGTACACTTTTGGATTTTCTAAACATTTTTATTAATTTTTTTTTCAGGATATTACCGAGTTAACTATGACACTGATTCATGGTCGCATATCACCCAGGCTCTTAAAAGCTCAGAATTTGAAAAAATTCATGAAATAAACCGCGCATCAATACTTGATGATGCACTGAATCTTGCTCGTGCTGGCTACCTTGACTATTCGATAGCCTTAAACATAACTCAATATCTAACACAAGAAGTAAATTACATACCGTGGAGAGCTGCATTCAATAATCTTTTATTTCTACATCAAAAATTTGTCGGAACAAATATCTACGACTTGTTTAAAGTATTCATTATTATTATAATTTTTTTTATATGTAGGTAAAAATTTAATTGTGATTATAAAATTCATGATTTTCGTTTTTAGACTCACATTTTAACGATACTGGATCCTGTTTACAATAAACTAAGTTTCAATGAAAATCATAACAATGATACTCACTATGATAAACTTTTAAGAAGATATATAATTAATTGGGCTTGTGAATTGGGTGTTGAAGATTGCATTAAAAATTCTATAGCATTATTTTCTAGATGGAAATCGAGCAACACGCAATTGTAAAGTTTATTTAAAAATATCTTTATCATCCTTTATATTCAATACATAAAGTCACTAGCATATCATTTACAAAAATAAAATAACTTTTTTTTCTTAGACAAATAAATATACACTGAAAAAAAAAAAAATTGATTAAAAATAATATATATATTTTCAAAATTTAATTCTTCTTCCGTGATATTTAATTTTAACAGTGCATATACGGCCTTATATGACCATCTTTCATAAGAGGATAGAGTAAATCGAAAAAATTTTTTTTTCAGTGTAAAGATGGGTGGAATATACTGATAACTATTAATTATTTTACAGAGTTCCTGTTAACCTGCGAAGTACCGTGTATTGCACTGCAATAAAATATGGTACCGACGAGGATTGGGAGTTTTTGTGGAACAAATACCAAACAGTTAATTTCGCTCATGAAAAAGTAGTTATAAGTAGTGCTCTTGGATGTTCGAAAAATAAAAATAAACTAGATAAATTATTGTCAAGTGCCATTTCTAAAAATTCAGGTATAGGATCTCAAGATAGTTTGACTGTTTTTGCGTCAGTATATAGCTCTGGTTTATTTGGAGCCGAACATGCTCTAAACTTTGTTGATAAATATTATGATGCCATGTTAAATTAGTAAGTATATTTATATGTCTATTTCTTATTAAAATTAATCAAGGATTAAAAAAAATATTTCGACTTGAGAAAAAAAAAAGTTAAAATCAGAAAAAAAAATTTATTCGGAAAGAACAAGATTACACTGGATAACATTTCAGATTATACTCCGTGAAATCTGTGGTGAAAAAAATTTCAGTTAGTAGCTAGTATTATCCAGATTATACTGAGTGATATTTGGATTATACTCATTGTAATCTTCCATTCCCTGATGGATCCAAAGTGCGGTAGAGTACGGTACGTACAGTGATTTACCATAATACACAGTACGACACCGTAAATTACGTAGATTTTACAGTATAAAGTACCGCCATTGTACAGTAATTTACTGTTATTGTACGGCAAGATACCGTGATGGTACGGTAAAATACCGTAATTGTTAGTAAAATACTATAATTATCCGGTAAAAAAAGTACTATTTTTGTTCGCTAAAGTACCATAATTGTACGGTAATGTACCGTAATTGTACGGTAACTTATCGCTAAAATAAGGTATATTTGACGGTAGGTTACCATTGGAATACGGTAATGCGGAAAGTTCAGAAGTATATATTCTACCGTATTTTCACCGTTCTTTACTGTACGTTACGGTGTTTTACGGCTTCTACTGTACAAGTAGAATGCTACTGTAATCTACGGTGGTCATACGATATATCGACCGTATTTTTACTGTATAATACCGTAATTCTTCGGTATTTCAGATCCGTCAGAGGTTTCCACCGATTAAATCTCTGATTATACCGCGTAAGATTCCATTGGATATAATTAGAAATTGTATCCTGTAGAATTTGGATTAAACTCAGTAGAATCTTGAATTATACCCAGTGATATCTCCGCAATTTTTTTTCTAACGCCTGCGCATTTAGCATTATCATATGATTATGAACAGGTTAGATCTTATTGTCACAAGCCTAAACATAAAAACATACGTTTTGTACACTATTTTTACATACCTTGTAATTTTAATAATTATAACGGCTATAAAACATATTGTTACATAGCACAAAATATAATTGTTCACACACTAATTAATGCACCGATTAAATTTTTTTAATGATCAATATACTGATGGTTGACTATAATTCACAAATTGTAAACAGCACTTCACGCGCAGGCGCTAGATAGAAAATGGCGCAGATATCACTAGGTATAATCCAAGGTTCTACTGAGTATAATTCAAATTCTACAGGATACAAGCTCAGATTATATCCAGTGGAATCTTACGCTACATCAAATAGCAAATCTTCTTTTCACTACAGATTTCACTGAGTATAATCTGGAATGTTACCCAGTGTAATCTTTTTCTTTCCGTTTGGTATAAATTTTTAAATATTTTCATATTAGCTACGGAAAACATGACACAATTGCAGCAATTTTGAACGATATATCATCTCAATTTTCAACAAAAGACTTAGTTGAAAAATTCAAAAATTTTATCTCCAGCAAAAAAAAGAATCTATCAGCAATCGAAGAGTCTCTTAAATCTTACTTGTCTCGTGCTTACAAAGAACTTGATTGGTACAACAATTACAGTCCTCAAATATTTGAGTGGCTTGATAAAACTTACCCAAATTCAGACTACCGTCTTTCAAAAAATATTTATCCTTCATCTTATAAGATTTATCTCACTCCTTATTTCGATAATTTCACATTTGACGGCCGAGTTGAAATCAATATTAGCGTAATGCAAAACACTTCAAGCATCGTTTTGCACGCAAATAACTTAACCATAAAAGAAATAAGTGTATCAGAAAATTCTCTCGAAGGAAATTCTCTCACAGTATCCAGTTATTTAATTAATTCAACAACTCATAAATTTACCATCTATCTATCATCTACTGTTAACGATGGATCGAATTTAACTGTTAATGTTGAATACACTGGAATTCTCAATGATAAAATGGAAGGATTTTATCGTAGTTACTACAAAGATGACAATGGGATTTCTCAGTGAGTATTTTTTTGTGCATAATTTATTATTTACCATTGAAATGATTTTAAGAATAATTGAAAGAGTTGCCCTCATAATAATTTGTAACATTTATATATTTATTACTAGCTGGTTAGCAACGACGCAATTTGAAAAATTCGGAGCTCGACAAGCTTTTCCATGCTTTGATGAACCAATATTTAAAGCTAAATATAAAATTCATATTCAACGACTCAATAATTATCATTCACTTAGTAATATGCCGTTAAATATATCCTTACCGTCAGAGTAAGTTTTTTGAGAATTAAAATTTTTGTATTCTTTTATTAATTATATTTTTTATCCAAGGAAATTTAATTGGACATGGGATTATTATGAAGAAAGCGTACCTATGTCCTCTTACCTAGTGGCATTTATAATTTCTGATTTTGAGTCGTATCCAAATTTTCATGAAAATTTCACAGTTTGGTCTCGTCCAAATGCAGTTCAATACACTTCTCATGCTTTGGATTTTGGACAAAAGGCATTACAATTTTTAGAAAATTACACAGGAATATCCTATCCAATAAAAAAAATGGACTTAGTCGCGATTCCTGACTTTGCTGCCGGCGCAATGGAAAATTGGGGACTTGTTACTTTCAGGTAAATAATAACCCTGAATAAAAAAAAATATTGAGACAAAGAAAAAAGTATTAAAAAGTATTGGATTGACTATATACTAGAAAACCAGTACTTTTCAATACTTTTTTCTTTGTCTCAATACTTTTTTTTTATCAGGGAATGCTCAAACAATTTTTCCAAAAAAAAAAAGATGAAAATAAAGTCAGCCGACATATAAAAATTTTCGTAATTTTTTTCATTGAAAAAATTATTATAAAAAAATTTCACTTGTAAAAAATTTGAAAAACTGTAAGTGCATTTTAAAAAAAATATTTTTTAGTTCTAATTTCAAAAATTAAGAAAAATCAAAAATTTCTGCTAACTTTATTGTTATAAAAAATTTTTTTTCTTCGCTGAAAACTCTACTACCCTCTCCTAAAATTAAGCATCATGTTTATTTATAAAATTTTTTTTACTCTTTAGAGAATATGGATTATTATCAAAAGAAAATATAACTACAACTTATTATATGAGATATTTAAACACTGTGATCGCGCATGAACTTGTTCACATGTGGTTTGGAAATTTAGTTACTTGCGATTGGTGGGAATATCTTTGGCTTAACGAAGGATTTGCGCAATATCTTGAATGGATTGTAACTGATTCGGTAAATTAACTTTTCAATGGTTATAAATTTTCAATTTCTGTTCAAACTATTGTAATATTATTATTATCATTATTTTTGTCTTAAGATTTTCCCAGAAGCTCAATTGATGAAACAATTTTCTGTGTATGAAATTCAACCAGCATTATTAAAAGACTCGTATATTCACATGCGACCCATGAATAATAAAATGAAAAATCCGTATGACGACGGTAAAGACTTTACTTCGATTGTCTACGGAAAAGGTATTAATAAAAAATTAATATCACACAAGCACAAGGATCTAAAAAATTACTTCTTCATTCTTATTTTATATCGCGTTACAGATGCCATGAGGGCGTGTAAAAAAAATTTTTTTGAGGACTGACGTATTTTTTCATAAAATGTGCAGAAATGCAAAAAAAAATTTTTCTCTAAATTAAAAATTTTTTTTGGACTTAGAAAAAAAAATAGAATTTTTATTGTACGCCCTTATGGCATCTGAGGTGGGTCCCGGGAGCCGTAAGGGTGAATATAATTTTTTTTTTTATTTCTGCACATTTCGGCTTTTCACCGGTACCTTTTGCCGGAATACGCCCTTATGGCATCTGGAACGCGACATTTTCCCGCTTTAGTTTTTTTTTTTTTTTTTTTTTCACACAGATGTTAAAAATACTACAATTTAATCTTAATTATTTCGTAATATAATGAAACATTGATAAATTTCAGCTGCAAGTGTTATTCACATGATCAAGTATGCAGTTGGAGAAGATATATTCAAAAAATCGTTGCACAATTATCTTGATAACAATAAATTTAACACTAGCAAGCCAGAATATTTGTGGTCAGCTTTGCAAATGAATATTAATCAAACAACAGGGATAAATGAAACTATTTTCACTTTAATGGACTCATGGGCTAGTCAGGCAGGGCATCCTGTAGTCCATGCACATGTTACAGCTGGATCACTTTTTCTTGAACAAGTTATTGTTTTTTCTTTTCTTCTTAGAAGTCGTTTATAGATAAATACTATTTGTAAAATATTGCACGCCTCATAGCGCGAAGCGCGTGAAATAGTGCTTTACTCCCGACTCGTCAAGGTCACGCAATTATGTGATCATTAAATGCCTCTATCACAACGATATTGCACTTATATAATCATATAAGTAGACTTATGTCGAGAAAACACTTGACGTAAACTATTTCATACTTTTTAAAAATCATTTAATGTTGCTATTTTGAAAAAAATTTTACGTGGACGTCTTGATGTCACTCGCTGATTTTGTATGTACCAACGATTACTCCCAAACAAAATCATATATCGAGACCGGGCTTTTTCCATTAGTTCCAGAATTCTATAAGCTGGAAACAAATTCATTCAAACAATTCATCAGATTACATTAATTTCATCAAATTACATTTTCATCCAAATTCGACTTAGAAAAATAATTTCATACAAAAATAAATATTTTACCAAAATTATTTCCCATACTAATTAAATTTCTGGGACTTAGAAAAATAATTAATTGGATATTTCGAATTTATTCGAAATATTTTAATCACTTAATAATTTCAGATAAAGTAAATTTTTGTTCTTTCAAAGAACAAAAACTATCGTGACGCGGATTCGCTTATCTTAGCTCGGCGAGTTTGATCTGCAAGCGAACCGTCGACGCCATCTATCGCTCGGTGGCGAACTACTAAATTCATTTTTCTTTAAGACGTCGTTTAAAATAATTTTAAATAAAGAAATAATTAAACAAATAAAATCATATACAAATTATTATTATTTATAATAATAATCGGCGGAAACAAAAAATAAACGAAACTCAAAACGAAACTCGTTAAAGTAATTAGTTCAAATAATTATTCTAAACGACGTTTCGATAATTTAACAATTAATACCTTTAAACAATTAACAAAAATAATTAAACTCATAAACAAAAATAAACTTATATACATAAATGCCGTGGCATGGGTAGTCAACGCGGTCGTGGTAGCGATGGCTCGCTCGGTCCGTCGATGAGTCCCGTCTCTCGTCGCTCACGACACCCCTCCGCCTCCTCGCTTATAATACCTTCTTCACAAACTTTTCTTATTTCTCTCACGTAAAAACTATGGCGCCACTTAATCAAACTAGATTTTTTTAGACTACGCGCGCATTTGACAAGAAAAACGGCGCCAATAATTAAGAACAAATAGAAAATACTCTATAAAAAATTACTTAATTATTTTTTTATCTTTTAAAAATCAATAACACAATTTATTTTTTGCTTAAACAATAATTGAGCGTTATGAGGCGTGCACTTTTGGATTTTCCAAATTTTTCTATATTATTGTTTATAATTTTAGGTACGTTTTCTGATATCAGGTCGTAATAATTCAGCTAAAGAATTATATTGGATACCTATAACAATAACATCTAAATCAAGTGCTAACTTTTCACATACTTCTCCCACTCTCTGGTTTGGAACACGTGGAACAACAACTGATAAATTTAATCTTACAGACGAATGGTTTATTATAAATGTTAATCAGGTTGGATTTTATCGAGTAAATTATGATACAAACAATTGGAACTATTTGATTGATGCATTAATATCGGAGGATAATTTTGGTGGCATTCCAGAAATAAACAGAGCTCAGATAATAGATGATTTGCTTATTTTAGCAAGAGCTGATTATGTTGAGTACGAGATTGCACTTCGTGCTACAACGTATTTGATAAAAGAAAAAAATCATCTTCCGTGGAAATCCTTTTTGAATTCCGTGCAATTTCTTATAGAACGATTTGATGGTAACCAAAAAATAACTAGTAGTTTGAAAGAGTACGTTTTGAAGTTGATTGAACCAATTTATGAAGAACTGGGTTTTGAAGATAAAGCCAATGATACAGATTTGGATAAATTAAATAGGCAAATTATTTTATTTTGGACATGTCGATTTGGTCATGCCAAGTGCATAGAAAAAGCTAAACAGATATTCGATGCATGGCGAGTTAACGAGACGTACTTGTAAGTTTTAGCACTTTCTTATTAATTTATGATTATTGTTAGGTTGTGTAAAAAAATTAAGTATTTATTCGAGCTTCCTTTGAGAATATCGCGTGACAAATGCCAAAAGGGCGTATAATAAAAAATTTTTTTTCAATCACTGCAAACATATTTTGATCTGAAAAATGAAAAAATTTTAAGTCCCAAAAAATTTATGTCTCGAATTAAGAAAGAAATTAAGAAAGCACTTGATTTGCAAGAAAATAATTTAGAGAAAAAAACATACATTACAAACAAGAATATAAGAAGCATTGAACATTCTTATAGGAGTTTAGATTTGATTGCTATAAGCTTAGACAGTTCGAAGAAAAACGTCTCTATATTTTACTAACTTCGACTTATAGAGTTTCACTTTTAAAATTCGAGTTACAGAGTCTAAATAGTTCGAGATATCGCGTATTTAAGAGTTCAGCGGAAGGGAATACAAATTTTTTTCGAGTTACTGAGGGTTTCGACTTAACAAGGTTCGAGTTACCGAAAATCCACTGTATGTTTGAATGACTCTAAGAGTGAAAATAAAAAATATTAGTAATACTTTGATTAGTAAATGGCTACCAGCCCAAGCGGCACAAATTTTTTTTTGTTAAATTAAATAAGTTGACGATAGGTAATTAATTTTTAACTTCTTGTTGAGTGGAATCTACCAAAAAGTCAACATTTTTTTTTGTGACGCTTGGGAGGCTTCCAGCGTGAAATTTCAAAAGTTTTAAATATATTTAATCATCATAGTCATTTTTTAAAAGAGTGAATTTTTTCTTAATCAGAATCTTACAAAATAGTTCAAAAACTGTAAAGAGAAAAAAATTGGGTAATTTTCTAAAATTCCAAATAAAACTAAAAAAAAATTTTACTATTTCAAAAAAATTTTTTCCCTGCCTATTCGCCGCGTTTCTAGTTCAATTTTCCATATTTCACCTTTATTATGATATTGCTTCTTCGATGCTGCATTATTTTCATGTTTTATAATAAATAATAAAAAACATAATTTTTTTTATTCGCCGTTTTGACGTTATTAGTTCAAAATTTTTTTTTTACTGATCTTGATGTTTTGGACGATTTTGAGCTAATTGGTAAAAAAATTATTTCTGTACATCCTTTTGTCACCAAGCCCTATCTTACTGTAAGAGTACGCTCTTTTGATATTTGTCACGCGATACATGTTAATTTATTATATTTTAAAAGCCCGAGAAAAAATATTTATATATAATTATATATATTTATGTATAAATTGGTTATATATGATTATATATGAAAAATGGCCAAATATAATCATATCTAATTATATAGGCTGTGTATAGCTCCATATATAGTTATGTATAATTATATATGATTATATATAACCTCATATACAATTCGATATATAATCATGTATGATTATATATAATCTTGCATGGCTGTGTATAGCTCCATATATAGTTATGTATAATTATATATGATTATATATAACCCCATACACAATTCCATTTATAATCATGTATGATTATATATAATCTTGCATGGCTGTGTATAGCTCCATATATAGTTATGTATAATTATATATGATTATATATAACCCCATACACAATTCCATTTATAATCATGTATGATTATATATAATCTTGCATGGCTGTGTATAGCTCCATATATAGTTATGTATAATTATATATGATTATATATAACCCCATACACAATTCCATTTATAATCATGTATGATTATATATAATCTTGCATGGCTGTGTATAGCTCCATATATAGTTATGTATAATTATATATGATTATATATAACCCCATACACAATTCCATTTATAATCATGTATGATTATATATAACCATATATGATTATATATGATCTTGCTTGGCTGTACATTGCTCTATATATAGTCATATATAATTGTATATGATTATATATAACCTCATATACAATTCGATATATAATCATGTATGATTATATATACTTATATATAATTATATATGATTATATATGACCTCATATACAATTCCATATATAATTATGTATGATTATATATAATCTTGCTTGGCTGTACATTGCTCTATATATAGTCATATATAATTATATATGATTATATATAACCTCATATACAATTCCATATATAATCATGTATGATTATATATAATTTTATATACTTATATATATTTGTATATGGAACTATATATAATCCTGCATGGTTGTATATTGCTCCATATATAGTCATATATAATTATATATGATTATATATAATCTCATACACAATTCCATATATAATCATGTATGATTATATATGATTATATATAATTCTATATAATTATATATGTGATTCCATTTATAATCATATATGATCATATACAATTATATATGATTATATAGAAACATTTTTTCTCGGGAGCTCTCTTCAAAAATTAATTAAGTAAAAAAATTTTTAGAAATCGCTAACGACTTCTTAAAATTTTGGAGAACTCAAAATATTTTCGAACAATTTTAGATTATAAATTTTTAACAAGCACTAATTTTTTTGTATAAAGCTTAAATCAAACAAGAAATTGAATAAAAGTCAGAAAAAACTTTAATCGAACCACATTGAAGAAAAATTTAATTTTAGTAACTTTTAAAAAAACCCACTGATAATAATTATAATAATTTTATCTTCAACAGTATTTTTCCCAATGCGAAACCAGCAGTTTGGTGCACAGCTCTAAAACACGGTGATTTTGATGACTGGGAATTAATGTGGCAAGAATACCGTGCATCAAATTTTGAATCAGAAAAAGTTATGATTTTAAGTGCACTTGGATGTTCACAAAATTCAACCGCTATCAAAAAATATCTAACTCATGCAGTTTCATCAGATGGTTCAATTCGTGACCAAAATTTCGTAAATGTTTTCTCATCTGTTTATTCTGCTGAAAAGTATGGTGTTGATCTATCAATTGAATTTTTTATAAATAATTACACTTCTATTTATAAATTGTAAGTATGACTAATCAAAAAAATTATTTTTAAAACAATCAATTAATTAATTTTATTTTTCAGTTACAAAAAATGGGGTTCTGTAGCTGATTTATTTTCAAACATAGTTTCGAAAGTATCAACTGAAGAACAGATCCAGAAGGTAAAATTTTTTGTTCTGTCAAAATTTACACTCCGACAACTCTTAACTCGTATCTAATTAATAAATAATGATTTAATTTTTTAGCTTATCTCTTTTGTTATGGAACATGAAGAAGAATTTGAAGAAATCCGTAGTACGTTAGATGAATCGATCATTAACGCTAGAATGATGTTGAATTGGAGTCAGTTCCACTATGGAAAAATTTTAGACTGGTTAACTAACGAAAATTCAATAGAGTCATGGGGCAGTCGATATAGTTCATCTGGAACAGCAAACGCTATAGAACCGCTGTCATTAATTATCATTTTAATTAGCAGTGTAATTTTATTATAGAGGATAGAAATAATTATGAAAAAACAAATGTACTTCTTGAAAAATTAATAGATCAGTTGTTGATCACAAAACTGAAATTGCAATTACATGAAAATATATGTATAACAAAAAAATTGCCATTTTTAATTGTTCGAAAGTACTTCTGCTGAAACTCGAAAATTTTTTAATTATGCTTCCATCTTTGATCATAAGAAGTTCAAATCGTTGAAGTTATAAAAATTACCAAAGTTTTTTACCGAGTAGTGCCACCTTATAGATACTTCTTTAAAGAGTATTTGACGAAGTCCCAAGTAACTCGGGAATAAAAATTGTAATATTGATTTGTTCGAAAGTTTCTTGCTGAAATTCGAAAATTTTTGAATTTAGTGTCCGTCTATAATAAACATAAAAAGTTCTAATTTTCAAAGCTGTGACAATTACCATATTTTTCTACTATACCGAGTGCTACTGTTGCGTAATTATCATATGTATAAGATCGGTAAGATCGCATTCTTTGGTTCTGTGTGATTAATGATCGGCCATTAGTAATTTTTAAAAAGCGCGCCAATTTTTTTTTTTTTTCAAATAAAAAATGTAATACTGGAGTTAGCTGACAGCTGACAGTTTTTAGAATTTTTGATACAAATCAATTACAATACACAAAAATGCTTCAAAGCCGACATCTAAAAAATTTTATAATTTTTTTTATTGAAAAATTATTACAAAAATCAAAATAAAATTTAATTTGTAAAAAACTTCAAGTACCTACAATTGAAAAGAAATATTTTTTAGTTTTAATTTAATGAATTAAAAAAAAATCAAAAACTGTACTCAAATCAGTAGACATCTGACTAATTTATTAATTTTTATTAAAAATTAATAATAAAAAAAAAAAAACATTTTTTTTATTTGAAAAATAAACTAATTATGAAAAATTATTTTTAAAAAATTGAACTTATCTTTTTTTACAATTTCTACATGTGCAATTTTTTTTCTAATTTTTTATTGCTACAATTTATCATCAAATTCAAAACAAATTATCAAATTACCCTCATCTTCAGTCATATTTTTTTTTTATTTCTAGATATGAAATTTTTTTATTATCTTTATTTTATCATAATTTTTATTATTAGTTATAAAAATAAAAAAAATCAATGCAATTTAAAATCAGTAAAACAATATAAATTTTTTAAATTAATTCAATAGAAAATTAATAAAACAAAAAATATATAAATTATTCAAATATATTTAAACAAATTTATAGCAGTACAATATTCATTTTAAAATTTATATACAATTATTAATAATTCATCAAACACGCGCACAGCACTTAAATTACATCATTATTATAAAGCGATATTTATATATAATATATATATTTATTTACTTTTAAAAATTAATTTTTTTATTTATATCTATAATTCCTAAACGACAGTCGACAAAACCCTCATGGAAGATTCTGACTAAAAATAATTATATTTACATCGTTAAACCACGTACTAGCAGTTCAATTATATCATTTATCATACAAATTCTATAGTTAAGTTTATCAGGATCGACAATTGAGTAATTACAAATTGCAATTATTTCAATAATTGTTTCTTAAACTCACTCTTAAATGCTTCTATTTCCCGAACGATACATCATATAAAATTTTTATTTTTACGCCAAAAAAAAATTTATTTTTAAATTCTCTAAAATCTCGATTATTTAAAAAATTAAGAATTTAAAAAAAAAAATTTTTTTGGCGTAAAAAAATTAAAAATTTTTGATCGAAAATACCATCCAGTTTATTAAATGAGTTTGAAATTGTGCAGTGAAAAGTATTACTCACAATCTTATCAGTATAATTACCACCAATGTTGTGACTGTTATTTTGTTAATTAATAATAATAAACTATTAAAATCTATATGTTATATATACGCATATTTACATACACGAGTATGACAGTTGATTTAAAAATGAACGCACTCAGTCGAAAAATCCAGAAATCCTGATAAAAAACCGCTCCAACACTCAGTACTAAAACTTGAGATACTAATTACCGACTAATTATCACAAAGGTTTGATTTAAAATTAACCAAATAAATTAACGTAATAAACCTGTGTGTCTAGTCGTTAATTATTATAAATAGTCACATGTGTTTCTATTTATAACTATTGAGTCATGAATCGCGAATCTGATGGATCAGCTTTAGTTGAAGTGGAATTTGAACTGGAAGGGCGAGCCGTGGAACTGGTGGAACTCTTGGAAGGGATTGAAGTTAGAAGGATGCCTTCCAGACTCAGGGTCTAGAGGATCTTCTCCGCGGTCGAATTTCGCCCGTTTCTCTGGATCCGTCAGCACTTCTTTAGCGGCAGCAATGTCAATGAACTTTTTCTCCGCGCGCTTCTTTTCTTCGCCATCCTGGAAATTGTCCGGGTGCCACGTCTGTGCTGCTTTACGGTATGCCTTTATGATCTCTTTCTTCGGCGCATTCCGATTAACTCCCAGGATTTTGTAATAATCCCGAGACTCGGACATCTTCTGACGCTGCTGGGCTGTTTGCAGCAATTCCTTGGCTCGTTGGAAGTTCGGGTCTATTTCTAGAGCTTGTTTTAAATCTATTATGGCTGTAAAATAAATTTATGATAAGTATCATTGATGAAAAAAATTTTTTTCAAGTATACTAAGAGATCATTCTGGTTTTTAACTTTTCAAAAAAAAAATTTCGTTAATTACAATTTTCTATTTAACTGATAAATTTTTTGAATGTTTTTAAATTGTAAATGAAATTATTTTTAGTCTATGTAAAATAATTTTAAACAATTTCTCAACTACTACTTTTGAACATTCCTTCGTAGTTTTTGTGATCCGAATTTGGAGGGACTTACCATTTGAAGTCACAAATTCACTTAGCTTAAATTCTTTTAAAATTAGTACTTTTGAATTCTTCATGAAACGTGAACGAGAAAATGAACCTTAATTTCTAACTTTTAAAGAAGAAAATGAATCCTAATTTTCAAACCGTTTATATTCTTTTTCACATTTCTATTTACATAAGTTTATTGTTCTAGATCATCTCAGATTATCATCTTCTATAATTTGTATTTTTTGTATCACTGAGTTAAACTGTTAAATTTTTTAAATTTTTAATACTCAATTTTTTATCCTCAAATTTATTTTCTTTGTTTTATTTGTCAAATTTGTATTCCAAATTAAGAAAATAATATTTCATAAAAAATAATCAATTTTTATATCTAATATTTTCTAAACTAATAGATATCTAATTTTTTCTAAACTTTATATCTTCATTAGACTTACGTGTACTTTATTATAACTCTTTTTGTATACTTTTGCCATCTGGCTATACTGCCTTGGCATTGAAATGAAATAATAAATAAATTTTATTGTACAAACCTTTAGATTAATATAAACATTCTATGAGTTCTTTAATTATTTAATAAAACTCAAAAATTAAAAAAAAAATTTTGTTATGTTAAAGTTAGCTTTACAAATTAGTAGATTGAAATTTGTTTTTTTTTATTATTATTCTAAAGGTTCATAAATGAAATTAAAAAAAAATTTTTTTTAGTTATAAAATAGACCAAGAGACTGCAGAACGCAGCTTCTATTATTTATTTTATTTTTGTCCATAAAAAGTGTTCATTTTTTTAACTATCCATAATGTATCATCTCATGTATGAATAAATATTTATAATACTGAAAAATCGCAGACTTCTGACTATTTTTTTATCTTATTCAATAGTTAAGGAATCGTTCCGTTTTGTAACTTTCAAAAAAATTTTTTTTTACATTTTTTAAAAGTACACAGATATAAAAATATTGTGTTAGAATTTGTAAGTGATCGGACCACTGTAACTATATTATTTTGAGATGTTTATGTGAATTTTCAAATGGAAGAAAATAAAATTTTTAAAAAGGCCGAAAGGATTTTTTATAGTGCCAACATCGCTGATTAACTTTAGGTAAAATTTTTTTTTAATTAAAAAAACTTTTAACGCGTTTGTCTCAAAAGTATGTTTTTCTGGTTTAGGTACATGATATCTCCAGAACCATTGACCCGATCTTAATGAAATTTAGACGACATGTTCTACATATTAGTAGCTATTGCATCAGCTACAATTAAATCAAAATTTTCATTTTTACTATTTTTTATGACTAAAAACTGTGAAAAAAAAGCCCCAATTTTCAGTTTTTTTTAATGTCCATCATTTTGTTATTTATCAATAAATACTAATCTCCGTAGTTGGTGCAATAACTATTAATATATTAAAGGCAAATAATTTTGGTTTTAGTGTTTTAGATGAGCCGTTATCAAGTTATCATATACGTCAGCTTTATACCAACGTTTGGGAGGAGCTCTGTTTACCCGTTGTTTATTTATATGAAAAATATTAAAGAAATAAATTTAAATATTTTTGGTGTTATTGAAAAGTGCATTTGTTTAGGTGAATAAATTTTATATTAATATCTATAATAGTTTCTGTGTAAAAAAATAATAAATATCGACTGTTTTTCGAGCGCTAGAACCAGAATAACCCCTTAAATTAATTAAATTATGTATATTTAAAATAAAAAAAATAATTACCATCATCATACATCTCAGCAGCAAGGTAAGCTTCAGCTCTATCACACAGCGAATTTTGATCTTTGTGTAACTTCAAAGCTTCCTGACAATATTCGACAGCCGAATTAGGATCTGTGTGCGGCATACATTTACACAATAATTGATAAATTTTCAATTTAACGTTCTCTACATCAGACTCGAGCTTGAGAGCTTTTAGTGCTGTTTTCACACACTTTGGATGATCGCGTGACTCTTCAGCCAGTGAAGCTTCTTCGAGATTTTTAGCTACGTCCTTTATTTTCTTGTAGAACTTGAAACATTCCTTGTGTTCTGGATCACGTTTCAAACAGCTACGAATCTCACTAAAAAATTTAAATAAATTAATTAATAAGTTAAAAAGTCCTTACATTCATCTCAACAGTTGATTTAAAAAAAAAAATACTTACTTCAATGATTCGCTAACATGGCCGAGCCGATAAAGAAACTTTGATAATTTTAACAACCCTTCAGTGTTATCGGACAACAGTTTGGCTGCCGAGTGAAAATCAGTTACGGCGTTCATGTAATCTTTGTTAGCCACATGACACTCAGCACGTAGTTCACGTAACTCAGCATTCCAAGGACACGATTCTATTGTTGAGGTGATTAGTTTCACGGCTTCATAGCAGCGACCGCTGGTTACTTGGGATTTCGCATGATCTATTGTATCACGCACTTCATCTATGAGGTAATAATACTTTAGAGCTTCATCGTTTGTCGGCTCTACTTCCAGCTGAAAATATTTTTAATTAAGTATTAAAGTTAATTATGCAAACAATAGAGTAATTATTTTTAATAATTTATTAATAAGTTCAGTCAAATTTTCCTGAGTATGATTATAACAGATGTTTGAAATTTTTTTTAGTAAATTTATTAATTTCAAAAATAATAGTATATAAAAATGCATTTGAAAGTTTATAAAAATTCTTTCTTTACAATTTTAACATTTTTCTTTATAATTTTAAATATTTATAAAATTTTCAAAATCTAGATATCTGCTAAGCTGTTTTCACACACTTTGGATGATCGCGTGACTCTTCAGCCAGTGAAGCTTCTTCGAGATTTTTAGCTACGTCCTTTATTTTCTTGTAGAACTTAAAACATTCCTTGTGTTCTGGATCACGTTTCAAACAGCTACGAATCTCACTAAAAAATTTAAATAAATTAATTAATAAGTTAAAAAGTCCTTACATTCATCTCAACAGTTGATTTAAAAAAAAAATACTTACTTCAATGATTCGCTAACATGGCCGAGCCGATAAAGAAACTTTGATAATTTTAACAACCCTTCAGTGTTATCGGACAACAGTTTGGCTGCCGAGTGAAAATCAGTTACGGCGTTCATGTAATCTTTGTTAGCCACATGACACTCAGCACGTAGTTCACGTAACTCAGCATTCCAAGGACACGATTCAATTGCTGAGGTGATGAGTTCCACGGCTTTGTAGTAGCGACCGCTGGTTACTTGGGATTTCGCATGATCTATTGTATCACGCACTTCATCTATGAGGTAATAATACTTTAGAGCTTCATCGTTTGTCGGCTCTACTTCCAGCTGAAAATATTTTTAATTAAGTATTAAAGTTAATTATGCAAACAATAGAGTAATTATTTTTAATAATTTATTAATAAGTTCAGTCAAATTTTCCTGAGTATGATTATAACAGATGTTTGAAATTTTTTTTAGTAAATTTATTAATTTCAAAAATAATAGTATATAAAAATGCATTTGAAAGTTTATAAAAATTCTTTCTTTACAATTTTAACATTTTTCTTTATAATTTTAAATATTTATAAAATTTTCAAAATCTAGATATCTGCTAATTTCATATTCATAAATTTATGAATGATACTAAAATTAGTCGAGGTTAAACAATTTTTTATTTTTTTTATTAATTGAATTAGAACTAAAAAATATTTTTTTTTAAATTGCACGTATAGTTTTTTAAATTTTCTATATGTGAAATTTTTTCTTTTAATTTATTAAAAATAATTTTTTAATAAAATAAATAATAAAAATTTTCAGATGTCTGCTGATTAAACTTTCATAATTTATGAGCACGAATTGTAGCAGACATATTTTTTTTTCATTTATAAATAATTTATGTACAACAAAAATAATAATATTAAAAAAAACGCACATAAAAATTTTAAAAAATTCATACTTTGCATTAAAAAAAAAATGTCTTGATAATTTTTAAATTTAAAATACATAAAAAATTAATGATGCTGAAATTAGCAGACATCGGAAATGTATTTCTATTTTTATAACAAATAAATTATAAAAAAAAAATATTTAAAAAAAAAATTTGCACTTGTAATTTTTTCATTAAATTTTAGTTATTATAAAAACAAAAAAAAACAAACGGAGAGATATATGTTAATTTTAGTATCATGAAAACTTTTCAAAAATCAGCTGTTTGCTTATTTTTTATACAAATAAATTTCATAAAAAAAAAAACATACCACTACTTGATAATCCTGACGAGCTTTTTCAAATTGTCCCTGCTTGAAGAGAACACTAGCTCGTTGAAACCTGGCAGCAATAAAATCTGGCTTAAGGTCCAGAACTTTGTCAAAGTCTTGTAACGCAAACTTTGGTTTTTCTAACGCGAGATACGCGATTCCTCTTTGATAGTATGTTCTATAATTATTTGGATCTCCATCTGCAATTAAAATTTTATTTTAATCCAATGTCTAAAGTAGGTAAATTAAATAAATTAAATAAAATTAAAATGAAATAATACTTGACACACACCTACAGCAGCATGACAATGTGTCAAAGCATCCTGTAACTGTCCTCTCATCAAAAAACTTCGGCCCATCTCCAAGTGCTTGTCGACATCACTACCACCCACTAAAACACACAAATGCATTTTTATTATTATTATTTTTCATTGTTTTTTTATCACTAAATTTTTTGAAAAGAAAAATAAAAAAAGGGTGTTATGAGGTATGTATGATTTATTTTAAGGTTAAATTGACTTACCATCGGAATAGAGATTCAAGAGAATAAAAAGAAAACCACCCGGAAACATTTTTAACTTTTTATAAACTTTCAGTGGTTAATGATTTATTACTAAAAATTTATAAACACTAGTTATGTTCAGTTGCTTATTATGGAATAATCGCTTATCTTTGGGTTAGTACGACAAAACTACAATGCCACACAGCCATTGCGATCGTGGTCTAACGTGATTGGTCCAACACAACTGTCGTATTTTGTATTCACATTATATTATTACTCCAATGCGTTCAATGATATATATATATATATATATCTATATATATATATAGATATATATATATACTATATGTTTATATAATAAATATAAATCGGCTTTGTAAATGTGGGAAAAATGGTCAATTTTTTTAAAAAGTATCCTTTAATTTTTTTTAATTAAAAAAAATGTCAAAGGTCTGTTGATACCAGTATCATTAATGATTGTTAAAAATTATGATATTATATTAAAGTTAGCAGTCACTTAATCATTTTTTAATTTTATTTAACAAAAAAATTATTTATAAAAAGTTGCATTTTTAATTTTTTAAAATTTTTACATCAATTTTTTTTTTGCAATAATTTATTTGTCACCAAAATTTTTAAAATTATTAAATATCTGCTAAATTAATTTGTATTAAAAATGAGTTTGTTTTAATATTTGTGAATTATAAAAATTATACATCAGTTTTTGATTAAAAAAAAATTTCAAGAAAAATGATACTAAGACATTTGAAAATTTTTGATTTTTGGAATCAATAAAAATTCTAAGTAAAAAAATATTTTTTAAAAATTGCACTTAAAATTTTTGAAATTTTCTGCATGTCAAAATTTTTTCTTTTAATTTTTTTTTTTAATAATGTTTTTTCAATAAAAAAAATTCTAAAAATTTTTAGGTGGCTGGATTAATTTTCATGCAATTTCTACGAGCAGGGTGTTTCTTCTATAAGTCTAATCTTTTTCATTCTTTGATTTTGTCATTTTTATCATCTTTTGTAATTAATGACTAGCTTTTTGGTCTTTTTGATCATATATTTTCATAACTTAATGTCTTTGAGCAACATGGGTTGTAAAAACATTTTCAATCACTTCCTTTGAGTCAAAAATAAGTTAGCCGGCATGTAAAAATTTATAGTTTTTTTTTATTGAGAAAATTATTAAAAAAAAATAAAAATAAAATTTCATTTTCTAAAAACTTGAAAAACTATAAGTGCAATTCTTAAAAAATATTTTCTATATCTAATTTAATAAATGAAAAAAAAATCAAAAAGTTAAAAACGTCTACTAACTAGTATTATCTCTTCCCAAGCGGCACAAATTTTTTTTGTTAATGTTTTGTTAAATTTAAGTTGACAATTGTAAATTTCTGACTTTTGCATTTTATTTCATCATGCCTTATAAAAAAACATAATACTGAATTTAACAGACATCTAACAATCTTTTAGATTTTTATAACAATTAAATTATAATAGAAAACAATTTAACAAAAAATTCCACATGTAGAAATTTTAAAAAATTATAAGTGCAAATTTTTAAAAACATTTTTTTTATTGTGATTGATATGAGATTACATTTAGCTGTCACTTGACAATTTTTTAATTTTATTTAAGAAAAAAATATAAAAATTAATTTAGCATATATGTAATAATTTTTAGAATTTTATAATATATAAATTATGGCAAAAAAATTGACATGTAAAAATTTTTAAAAATTAAAAATACAATTTTTTTAAAAATAATTTTTTGGAGCAAATTTTTGTATTACATAAAATTAAAAAATCGTCAAGTGACTGCTAACTTTAATATCATCAAAAAAATTTGTTCAAAAAAATTGTTTTAAAAAAATTGCATTTTTAATTTATTAATTAGATCAATTTACTAGTTAATTAGACTAATTTGCTAGATTAATTTTTATGTAATTGATTTGTTGTAAAAACTTCAAGAATTGTTCGATGTCTGCTAATTTCAGTTTTATCTCAAACAAACATATTGCCAAAAGTTTTTTACTTGAATTCTTTTTAATATCGTTTTTAACAAAACAATAGTTTGCTAATCATAATCCAAATTTTGAAAGTTTTGAAGCTCTATTATATCATACAGTTCCTAAATCATTAATCATGCCTTACTATAATCAATCACAATTAACCACATGAAAACAACAACAAGAAAGTTCAAGAGCATTCATCGCTCCCGTCTGTTGCATCATGTGAGAAAATTCTATAATTCCCATCACCAATCTCGTCTCGGATTGGCTTACTATTTTTTGAATTTTGCGCGCGAAATTAAAAAAAATCCTGAATTTTCCGAACTAGTTTTTCAATAATATTAATAAATAATAAGAAAAAGTATTTTTATTTACCATGAAAGCTTTAAAAAAAATTTCGACTTCTTTCAAATAAAATTTTGATTTTTTTTTATTTAATTTTTTGAGTTTAATTAAAAAGCCACTAAGGTACTTAATTGTTAATTTTTACTGCTGATATTATTCTACACGGTTCAACTTTGCTTTAATTTTTTGTTTTAATTTAAATAGTTTAGATATAACAGTGAAAGTAGTTTACGTATTAGGAACTTTTAAATAAATAAATTATCAGACATTTTATAAACTATAGATATACAGACATACGGACAATACGGACATCATCGTGGAAACATTCGGGGAAGCTTCTTAGGACCTCAAAACGTCATCCGTTGGAAACTCGATTTCCGAAAAACGGAGTAAAACCAAGATCTTCCCAACTTTTGAAAATTCTCAATTTTCTCAGCAGAAAGTTAAAAATATATATTTCTCGCAAAGTCATGGTTACTGGAAAATGTTGACATATCGAGTTTGATAAAAAAATCCGTGAAGATTTTTTAAGTATACAAAAATACAGTTGAGTCAAATAAAAAAATTCAAGCATGAATTCTCAATTAAGACAATACGATGTAAATAATTTTTAAAATACTTAGATTGAATTTTGATCAAAAAAAATTTTTTTTAATAGTGACATAAATACTAATGACAATTGAAGGTTATTAGATCTATTAAAAAGTAAGAAGCGCGCTGGCTGATGATGTTCTTAGACGTTAATAAAATGTGTAACCAAAAAGAGTTTTAATATGAGGTTGGACTGTGATAGTATAAATTAAAACTAATAAAATAAAAATAATACTAATAAAAATGAATACTGTGAATTTAGATGGCGGATGTTGATCCAGAGACGCTGCTAGAAAGGCTGAGCATGAGCCAGGGCGATGAACGGGACATGTAGCTGATCGCATTGGAGCAACTATTCGAGATCTGTCCTCCAAGAACCTTTTTACCCGCATTGTGCAGAATATTCCTAGACGAGCATGCACCCGACAGCGTGCTGGAAGTAACTGCGCGTGCTATAACTTATTATCTCGATGTATCTGCGGAGTGTACGAGGCGAGTGATGGGGATGGAGGGTGCCGTCAGAGCGATCTGCGGACGGCTATCAGGAGCCGCGCTTGGTTGTCGAGCGAGCAGAGATTTAGCGGACCAGTACATGAAAGTTCTGGAGTTGGTTTGTTCTCGAGAAGCCAGAGCTGTTAGCGAAGCTTCAGCTCTATCATACAGCGAAATTTGATCTTTATGTAATTTCAAAGCTTCCCGACAATATTCGACAGCCGAATTAGGATCTGTGTGCGACATACAGCTACACAGTAATTGATAAATTTTCAATTTAACATCCTCTACATTGGACTCGAGCTTGAGGGCTTTTAGCGCTGTTTTCACACACTTTGGATGATCGCGTGACTCTTCAGCCAGTGAAGCTTCTTCGAGATTTTTAGCTACGTCCTTTATTTTCTTGTAGAACTTAAAACATTCCTTGTGTTCTGGATCACGTTTCAAACAGCTACGAATCTCACTAAAAAATTTAAATAAATTAATTAATAAGTTAAAAAGTCCTTACATTCATCTCAACAGTTGATTTAAAAAAAAAATACTTACTTCAATGATTCGCTAACATGGCCGAGCCGATAAAGAAACTTTGATAATTTTAACAACCCTTCAGTGTTATCGGACAACAGTTTGGCTGCCGAGTGAAAATCAGCTACGGCGTTCATGTAATCTTTGTTAGCCACATGACACTCAGCACGTAGTTCACGTAACTCAGCATTCCAAGGACACGATTCAATTGCTGAGGTGATGAGTTCCACGGCTTTGTAGTAGCGACCGCTGGTTACTTGGGATTTCGCATGATCTATTATATCACGCACTTCATCTATGAGGTAATAATACTTTAGAGCTTCATCGTTTGTCGGCTCTACTTCCAGCTGAAAATATTTTTAATTAAGTATTAAAGTTAATTATGCAAACAATAGAGTAATTATTTTTAATAATTTATTAATAAGTTCAGTCAAATTTTCCTGAGTATGATTATAACAGATGTTTGAAATTTTTTTTAGTAAATTTATTAATTTCAAAAATAATAGTATATAAAAATGCATTTGAAAGTTTATAAAAATTCTTTCTTTACAATTTTAACATTTTTCTTTATAATTTTAAATATTTATAAAATTTTCAAAATCTAGATATCTGCTAATTTCATATTCATAAATTTATGAATGATACTAAAATTAGTCGAGGTTAAACAATTTTTTATTTTTTTTATTAATTGAATTAGAACTAAAAAATATTTTTTTTTAAATTGCACGTATAGTTTTTTAAATTTTCTATATGTGAAATTTTTTCTTTTAATTTATTAAAAATAATTTTTTAATAAAATAAATAATAACAATTTTCAGATGTCTGCTGATTAAACTTTCATAATTTATGAGCACGAATTGTAGCAGACATATTTTTTTTTCATTTATAAATAATTTATGTATAATAAAAATAATAATATTAAAAAAAACGCACATAAAAATTTTAAAAAATTCATACTTTGCATTAAAAAAAAATGTCTTGATAATTTTTAAATTTAAAATACATAAAAAATTAATGATGCTGAAATTAGCAAACATCGAAAATGTATTTCTATTTTTATAACAAATAAATTATAAAAAAAAATATTTAAAAAAAAAGTTTGCACTTGTAATTTTTTCATTAAATTTTAGTTATTATAAAAACAAAAAAAAACAAACGGAGAGATATATGTTAATTTTAGTATCATGAAAACTTTTCAAAAATCAGCTGTTTGCTAATTTTATACTAATAAATTTGATAAAAAAAAAGACATACCACTACTTGATAATCCTGACGAGCTTTATCAAACTGTCCCAGCTTAAAAAGAACACTAGCTCGTTGAAACCTGGCAGCAATAAAATCTGGCTTTAGCTCCAGAACTTTATCAAAGTCTTGTAACGCAACTTTTGGTTTTTCTAACGCGAGATACGCGATTCCTCTTTGATAGTATGTTCTATAATTATTTGGATCTCCATCTGCAATTAAAATTTTATTTTAATCCAATGTCTAAAGTAGGTAAATTAAATAAATTAAATAAAATTAAAATGAAATAATACTTGACACACACCTACAGCAGCATGACAATGTGTCAAAGCATCCTGTAACTGTCCTCTCATCAAAAAACTCCGGCCCATCTCCAAGTGTTCATTGACATTATTACCACCTACTGAAATACACGAATGCATTTTTATTATTATTATTCATCACTGTTTTTTTATCACTAAATTTTTTGAATAGAAAAATAAAAAAAGGCTGTTATGCGGTAATATGTAGAATTTATTTTAAATTCAAATTGACTTACCATCGGAATAGAGATTCAAGAGAATAAAAAGAAAACCACCCGGAAACATTTTTAACTTTTTATAAACTTTCAGTGGTTACTGATTTATTACTAAAAATTTATGAACACTAGTTATGTTCATTTGCTTATTATAGAATAATCGCTTATCTTTGCGTTAGTACGACAAAACTATAATGCCTCACAGCCATTGGGCTACCCTTACTTTGTTTGTTATTAAACGAAACTCCGAAAACTATATAATATACATTTCTACCGACATATACATTTCTTTTGACCATAGGAGACGAATTTTTTTCAAATGGTGGGAGGAGTATTATCTTTGCTATACTCGGAGAGTGAATCGCTCCTTTTATTTGACGAAGTGCTTAAAGAGTCTTCTGACATCGCTCTTCAGTCAGTAACTTGGAGTAGGAGAAATCTATTATGGAAGGAGCAAGCCTGTTTTACTCCGACTCGTAGTTAGATCTATAAGTATGTTTGTGTGCGTATGGGTGTGTGTATGTGTGTGATCCTCTTATAACTTTTGAACGGCTTGACCAAATCCATTCAAATTAATTTAAACATTATTTTCTTGAATCTTAACTTAAATTTTAACATTTTTTATTTAATTATTATTTGAGAAAAAATATCATTATTTGAATGATACCATAATTAAAAGACATCTGTCAATTTTTTTTTTTTATTCTCATAATAATTTAATTATTATGAAAAATTTTAACAAAAAAATTTCACATTTAAAAATTATTGAAAAATTACAAGTGCAAATTTTTGAAAAATATTTTTTTTTTATAATTAATTTCAGTATCATTTATTTGACAGTTTATTCTATAAATTTACTTAATTTTAATAAATCATTATTCATTAAAAAAAAAAAATAATTTAAAACCACACAAAATAATTTTTCAAAATAATTAATAAAATTCAATTATTTCTTTTATTCAATTAAAATATAAATATAAAAATATATAATCTGTACATTTATATTTATTAAGCTTAATGCATATTTTTATAATTGTCAGAGTTTAATTTTTTATAAATTTAGAAAATTTCACGGATATTAGTAAATAACAATAAGAATAATATTAACTGCTTATTACCTCTAGTAGTTGATTAAAAAATGCATTCAAAAGGTGATATTTATTTTTATACATGAAAATTTTATGATAATTTGATAATATAAATACTTATGTGTAAAAAGTGATATAATTACTCAAAAAATACAAAAATTAAATAATTGTTTTGTTTTACAGAAATCCGTCAAAATGGGGCAAAAATATGCTTTCAGCGTTAAAAGAAATGGGATGTGAGGAAATAGCAGGAATGATATACAATAAAGATGAAAATGAAAAAATAGAAGAAAAAATTGATGCAGGGATAGAAAGATATAAAGAAAGACTTAAGGAAGAGGACAAAAAAGCAATTGAGAGATCGACATATAATAAAATATATAAAAGAATAATGATCGAAGAGGATGAATACAATTATTAGAAGGATGACAAGAAAAGAGGTGACGATAAAGAGCAATGGGCAAGAATAAGATGCGGAAACATTGGAAGAGCTTATAAGAAAGGATATACAGAATGGGAGTTTAGATTATGTAAAGAAAGCCTGGAAACACTAGCACATCTAGCAAAGTGCAAAGAGGTAAAGAAAGGAGTGAACGAGGAAGAAAGAAAGTATCTGAAAAAATGGGATGATTAGCAGATGAAGAAGAGATGGAAAGGAAAATATGTTCAATCCTAAAAGGTGAAATAGACACGAACCTATGGGAAATATTTAGGAAAATAGAAAAATTAATAAAAAGAAAGACAGAAGCTGAGAAAGTTGGAGAAGAGAGTGCGGAGGTTGAGCAGAGAACTGAGTGAAGAATGCAGAAGGGGCAAGAGAAGAAAAGAGTAGAAATAAAAGAAGAAGAGGGGATATCAAAGGATAAATTAAGTGTTATCAACTAATAATGTTTTTAAAGTTTTAAAGTTTTAAATTTTTAAAAAAAGTTAAAAAAAAGTCTGAATTATTTAATACTCGATTATAATAATAATAATAATTATTACCTTTTATATTTATTATATAAAAAAACAAAAAATTGTATAAAACTGTAAAGTTATGCAAATAAAACACTATAATAAATAATTGTTTTGTTTTAATAGTAATATCTCAAAGATGACATAAAGCTATATTGCTATCATTTATAGTCATTGTCAGAATTATTTATATATCTTTAATTATAACTTCACTTTAATTTTATAAATTTTCATTGAAGACAATTTGGTGATTCAATTTAACTAAAGAAAAGAAATACTTATTTCATTTTTGGCTTCAATAATTTTTGTACTAGGTAACATAGCTTCAATGAAGCCATTTACCGACTTTTTAATTTAAGACTTCCTAATTATAAACTATAAAATAATTACATATTTACATTATTTAACAAGTATTATTTAATTTAATATTTTTCAATGAAATTATTGAACGTTATCACATACTCAATTACTATAAATCATTAATACTCACTAATTATGTACAAATAATAATAATTTCTTAAACTAGGTTTATTTTTAACTACTAATTTATTCAATCCATATCGAGATGGTATCATTATGTATCTTTTTATTTCTTCAATTGTTCACGCGCGAGATCTTCGAGGATGCGTTCTTCCTCATCATCGCTAGACAAAAAAATTAAATCATATTAAGGAGGTCCTTTCGCCGCCAATGTAAAATAAAAAATATTAGATTATAAGTAAATTCAATTTTTTTCTAATAGTTAAGGTCCTTATTTATCTAATAGTGAGGTTTAAATTATACTTTACCGGACAAATTTTTGAAAAAATAAAATTTTTAAATGCTAGTATTTGTTCAGAGTCTTACGAGAAAGTCAGACGTTTGCAGTATTTCTCGAATTATACTATCAGTCATGGATTAGATGAAGTAAAAAAAAAAAAACTAAAAATTAGATTTTCGAAATATTCAGGTTTCTTTTTTTGCAATAAAATATATCAGTTACCGAGATATTGATTGAGAAATTAATATTTAAAAATCACAAAAAATTCTCAAGCAACCTACGTTAAAATGGAGTCAAAAAATTTGGCAACGTTGCGTAGCGCGCGAACTTCAGACCATTCAATAAATTCAAACTAATTCATTTATTTATTTACACTGACTGCAAAAACTTAAACGTAGTTAAGGTTATATTGTGCAAATGATAATGTAAACAACCGAAGTACAGCGTTACCAAATCACGGACAGGTTACTAGCAGCTGATTTGAAAGAATCAAATTAATTTTTGTATTTAACTAATTTTTTTTTTATTTTCAAAATTTCAACAATTAATGCCTCATATACTATTTATTATTTAATTTTAGGAATTTTTATAGGTTTCTTTTTTTAATTTATCGTATATATTGACTACTACAATTGTTTTGACTCAACTGGAGCGAAAGGATTTCCTTAAAAAAAAAAA